GGAATGTGCTCTGATGCTAAGAGGTGAAGGCAAACCACGCACCTCGTAAGCCAGCGAAATAGCATCCGTTACCCAGTGGGAAATCCTTTGCTTTGATGCTGCAAGCCCGCGGCGGCCAGCACCAAAACATACAAAGAGCTGGTTTGATTTCCTCCAACCGCCTGAGCGATCTACATACAACTTCAAAGAACGGACCGGGCAGAGCAAGTTAAGTTTCCTTTCTTCCTCAGAGGCAAAAGGAGGAGGTTGGAAAGCGTTAAGGTTAACAACCTGAGAGCGGAACGCCGTGGAAAGAACCTTGGGTACATACCCCGACCTCGGCCTCAAAGTAACCCTAACCAGGCCAGGAGCGAAGTCCAAGCATGACTCACTAATAGAGAGAGCCTGCAAATCCCCCATCCGCTTTAATGAAGATAAAGCTAACAAAAGAGCAACCTTAAGAGTCAGAATCCGCTCAGGGGCTGACTCCAAGGGCTCGAAGGGAGCCTCTGACAAACCCTCCAGGACGACTGACAGGTCCCACGAGGGAACACTAGGGGGGCGAGCCGGTTTTAGGCGCCTAACCCCACGCATGAAGGCCGAAACTAACCTCAGTTTCCCCAAGGGAATCTCATCTGATTCTCTATGAGCGGCAATAGCTGCGACATATACTCTGAGAGTGGTAGCGGCCGCTCCGGAAGCAAACTTTTCCTGCAGGAATTCCAGCACTGTGCCTACTGGGCAGTTAACTGGGTTCCTATCATGTGCTAAGCACCATGCCTCGAACACCCTCCACTTGGAGGAATATAGCCTCCTCGTCGAAGGGGCTCTAGCATTCGCAATGGTCTCCTGAACGTCAGTTGGGAGATCAAAGCTTAAAGGTAACGGCCTCTGATAGGCCAAACGTACAGCTTCCAAATGTCGGGGCGAGGATGCCATATCCTGCCCTGAAGCTGGGAAAGCAGGTCCTCCCTGACCGGTATCTCCCAGGGGGAAGATTCCAACAGAGGGATCAGCTCCGAAAACCATGGCTGGGACGGCCAGAATGGGGCTACCAGAAGGAGGCGGACTCCGCTCTCCCTCACTCTGGACAGAACCGCCTGGATCAGCTTGATGGGCGGGAAGGCATAGAGTTTCTGCATCGGCCAAGGGTGGGCGAACGCATCTATCCCCAACGGAGCTGGAGGGCTCAGAGAGAACCAAAGCGGGCATTGGGACGACTCCTGAGATGCAAAGAGGTCCACTTCCGCTTTTCCGAACACCTCCCAGATCAGGGCCACCGTCTGGCGGTTCAACATCCATTCCCCAGACCTGAGCTTCTGCCTCGACAGAAAATCTGCTGCGAGGTTCAGAATCCCTGGGACATGAACTGCTCTCAGAGAGAGGAACTTGTCCTGGGACCACAGGAGAAGGTGACGCGCATGCCTGTCTAGGGTGCACGATCGTGAACCCCCCTGTCTGTTTACATGGGACACTACTGCCATATTGTCCGTTCTGACAATGACATGGTGTCCTTCGAGGAAAGGGAGAAAGTGGCAAAGAGCCAGGAAGACAGCCCTCAGCTCCAAGCTGTTTATGTGCCACGAGAGGGTCTCGCCAGTCCAAACCCCACACGCTGGCCTGCCCTCGAAAACCGCTCCCCATCCGGTCAGAGAGGCATCCGTCGTAACCATCTGGCGACGGAATACCGCACCCATACCGACTCCTTTCTGAAGGAAGAGGGGGTCCCGCCAGATTGACAGGGCGCGAAAGCAACTGCGCGACACCTTCAATAGGCGAAGGGCTGGCCCCGTGGGCCGAGCCCCTGAGAGCTTCATCCACCACAGAAAAGGTCTCATGTGGAGTAGCCCCAGAGGTAGCACAGGGGAGGCCGCGGCCATAAGGCCCAGAAGTCTGCGGCAGGTGCTCACGGAAACATGCTGGCCTAGTGCAAAACGGGACAGACATGTCACCAGACTGGAAATCCGTGCAGGAGCCAAACGGGCCTGCATAAGAACGGAGTCCATGCGTACCCCCAAGAAAACCGTGTTCTGAGCTGGAGTAAGAACGCTCTTCTCCGTATTCAACCTCAAACCGAGAGACTGAATATGACGGAGGACAATGTCCCTGTGGTGAGTCACCAACTCTCTGGAGTGGGCTAAAAGGAGCCAATCGTCCAGGTAGTTGAGTATATGGATGCCCTGGAGCCGCAGCGGGGCCAGAGCAGCATCCATACACTTTGTGAACGTCCTTGGCGCTAGAGCGAGGCCAAAGGGGAGGACCCTGTACTGGTACGCTTTTTCTCCAAAGGCGAACCTGAGGAACTTCCTGTGTCGCCGTACGACCTGGATGTGGAAATAAGCATCCTTGAGGTCTATCGTCACGAACCAGTCCCCCAGCCGGATATGAGATATGATGGCCTTCAGCGTCAACATTTTGAATTTTCCCTTGTAAAGAGAGAAATTCAACCGGCGAAGATCTAGTATCGGCCGCAGGCCGGCCCCCTTCTTCGGGACCAGGAAGTAACGGCTGTAGAAGCCCTGTTCGACTTCCCCCGAAGGAATCTCTTCTATCGCCCCCTTCAGCAGAAGGGATGAAATCTCCTGCTGTAGTACAGAAGCCTGAGCTGCGCTGTCGACTACAGTAGGAAAGACCCCGTTGAAGCAGGGGGGGTTGCGACAAAACTGAAGCGTGTAGCCGAGCCGAACTGTGCGAAGGATCCAAGGCGATACCCCTGGTAAACGCTCCCATTCTTGAACAAAATGTGATAGAGGGAGAGGAGTGTTGCAGTGCAAGGGACATACCTGAGGTAGGGTGTCGCGCTGGTTCCCATGGGGAGGCGCGGATGACCGTGGAGGAGAGCGCTTGGCGTCCTGACACGTACTGGGGGGTACCACCACCTGGATAGAAGTAACTGGGTCCGCCTGCTCCAGAGGAAAACGAACTGTGCCTCCGAGGAAGCGATTGGCGGGTGTAACGTGCACCGGGAGCGAGGGGAGAAAGCAAGACGCGTCTCCTTCCTCCTACGCCGGACTGGGTGAAGAGAGTGAAACAGGACCTGCACTTCGAAACACGCTGGGTGGCGAAGGTGACAAGGTTGGATGAGGAGAGCCGGGTGGAGTAGGGCAGAAACGCTTGCGCGGTCTGTCCCAACCTCGTAGATCTGGTGAGGCTCTCCTCCTTCTGACCTGCGGGTCAGGAACGGCTCGAGGAGGCTGGAGCGGCCGATTTGTTGGACCGCTTCAGCTGAAGGCGCTTGTGAGGGCGCTGGCGGGGAAATGGACGACCTCGGGCTCCCCAGACCGTAGTTGGAGGGTGGTGAGCCGGGTCACTCCTGCTAGTAGGGAATTCAGCCCTATGAGCAGAGCGTTCTCGGGTTTGAGAAGGGGAAGGGTTGGAGTATCTTGGCCCTCTGACCCTCCTGGGCATAAACTGCCTGAACGCGGCCGACTGAGACTTAGCGGCACGGAACTTCTCAACCACCGTGTTGACCGCCTCCCCGAAAAGACCTGAGAGGGAGATAGGGGCATCCAGGAGGAAACTCTTATCCTTGTCTCGGATCTCCGTGAAATTCAACCAGAGGTGGCGCTCTGCAGCAACCGAGCCCGCCATAGAGCGACCAACAGCCCGAGCAGTGTGTTTGGTGGCTCTTAGGGCCAGATCTGTGGCTTTGCGAAGCTCTTTGACAGCTTCGGGCGTCAGTCCCTCTCCTTCATCCATGTCCTTCAAGACGTCCGCATGGTAGGCTTGAAGGATGGCCATGGTATGCAGGGCCATGCCTGCTTGACCAGCCGCCATGTAAGACTTCCCAATAAGGGAGGAAGTAGTCCTACAAGCCTTGGAAGGAAGAAGGGGACGCGCCTTCCAGGACGGTGCAGACGACGGGGCGAGGTGGTTAGCCAGCGTGTCCTCGACCGCTGGAATAGCGGAATAACCCTGCTCCACAAAACCCACAAGGTTGGTGAAGTCAGCGGCTGCCGCGTTAGTTAGGCGTGCGGAGAAAGGCTGCTTCCAGGATCTGGAGATCTCGTGATGCAGATCGCTGAAAAAGGGCAGCTTTCTTCGCTCTGGCCTAGAATTAGGGCCACGTAGGAACCTCTCGTCGAGTTTGGACGATTGAGACTCGCGGGGCTCATCAGGCCAGTCAATAGAGAGCTTCTCTGTAGCGCGCGACAGCACGTCAATAAGCTCAGTGTAGGCCGGAGTATGCCGCGCGTCCTGGCCGCTAGGCGGGATAACGTCATCAGCCAAAGCAGGCCCGAAATCCTCGGAGTCGGAGGCTGCAGTGTAAATCACGTCATCCAGACCGAAAGAAACCGATTCGCGGGCTCCCGGGCTGGGACATAAATAATCATGCGCGAATTCAACCGCGCCGCGTGCGTGCTCGGGAGAGGGAGGGAGAGAAAGGGCGAGGCCCGTCTGCTCATACTCAATATCCTCGAGCTCAACATCCGAGCCCCAGGCCGCGGATCCACGAGAGGCCTCAGCAGTCTCGGGAGCGCGACGGGGGGGAACGAATGACTCCTTCTCAAAAACCGCGAGTCTAGAGCGGAGGGTTTTGAGAAGGAGATTGTCACAAAATTTACATTTCGACAATCCCAATACAGCCTCACGCGCATGCGAAAAACCCATACATTTAACACACTTACTGTGAGGGTCGTCGTTCGAGATAAAACGAACGCATGGCGGAGAGCAGCGTCGATAATCCATGACACTTCACTGTAAGGAGAACAGAGTTCCACTTATACCAGTCGCTGAAGTGTCGAGACGAAAGCTGAAGTTGAATTTGAAGAATTCGGGCTCAGAAAAACCGAACGAAGGGCGAGATGTGACCGCTTCGTGAAGGCAGAGAAATCTGAGGAGAAGATGGCGCGCGCGCGTTCATCATGCTACGACGTAAGAGCGTCGGGGCGGAGCCAGCTTTGCGCGAGCGCCATCAGCCAATGAATTGGCGTGATTCTATAGGGCTTCAGGCAATCGGCACATCCAGAGGATATCCCACTGCGCTTTCCGCAGCGTTGAGTGAACCTATGAAAGAGAACAGAAACCTCCTGAAAGTACACATTTAAATGTGTCAGGTGAGAATTGACATGGAGACATGAGGTGTTTGTTTTTTGTGAAGTGGATTTTCAGAAGGAATCAAAAAGTGTTTCTGTGGCAGGTTCTGTACAGCTGTCCTGTCCCTTTTCATTTTGTCTCTGCTGGCTTTGGGGATTTTTATGACTCTCTTTGGAAGGGAGGGCTTTCCAGTCATGTTTCGAGGTAACAAAGAAGGTATCGCCTTGGATTTCTGTTTGGGTTTCTTCTGTGAATAGTCTGATTTCGCAACTGTTTGCTGTCGACCAGAGTTTTTGGAGTTTGCATATTCCCCCATTATCCCGACCACATTCAGACTGACAATGGCCTCGGATATCCCTGCCATGTTTTGTGCTCTGCATCGGTACTCCCCTGCATCTCTATAGGATATTCCATTAAGACTGACCGCCGACCAACGGATTCCCACACGTGGAGACTCATGTACATCTGCAGGCAATGGGTATAAAAGTGAAGTGATCATGTGATCAGACATTAAATCAAGTGAATTAAGATAACACTCACTTACATGACAGTTTACTAGATGATAAATTTGTTAAATATTTGCACCATTGTGCTTTGAAGGGAAATATTTAAACAGAAAGGTTTAAAAACCAAGTGCACAGCTAAACAGTAAATAATTTTAAAGGTCCAGTAAGCGATTTCTGAGACACACTGTTGATATTTGAAATCAACCCAAACAAACACAGCCCTCCCTTCATTGCTCTGCCCCCAAAATGCACTATCATGCAATGCAAAAGTGGATGTCTGTCTCTTTATGATAGCAGAAGAGAAGCAAAATAAAGCGAAGAGGGTAAACAAAAGACAAGGAACAAAAAATGAACATACTACACAAAAGTATATACAAGCAAGAGTTCGTTGCTAGTCGCTAGGGGTGGAGCCGAACCCGAATACGGTATTCGGAAAGATACAAATAACGTGTTTTTTACGAATAGTTATTTCGAACAAATACTTAAAAAAAATATTTGTATTAGGGAACAAGAAAAACTTTATATCAAAAAGCTGCGTTTCCTCACGAGACCGCAGTGCATGCACGGATGAGTGAGTGAGTGAGTGAGTGAGTGACGTTCAGGAAGAGGTGACTGACACAGGCTGCTCCACAGACACAGCAACAGATAGGGCTCGGCTGAGCGAAAAAACACTTAACTGCATCACTATTTTTGTTGAATAGATTTTTTTACCTTAAAGGAACACTCCGAGTTTTTGGGACTTTAGCCTATTCACCTTATACCCCAGAGTTAGATAAGTCCATACATACCTTTTTCATCTCAGTGCGTGCTATAAGTCTGTTTGACGCACCCACCGCTAGCCTAGCTTAGCACAAAGACTGGATGTAAATGGTTGCAGCTAGCATACTAATCCAAATAAGTGACAAAATAACGCAAACATTTTCCTATTTACATGTTGTGATTTGTATAGTCACAGAGTGTACAAAAAACAAAGTCACATGAGACACAGACATATTTTAACCGTATAAATACTGGGAACTATATTCTCTGAAGGCGAAGCACTGCTACTTGGGCGGAAAGATAACCGCAGCACCTGAGACGCGCTCTCTGCTCCTCACCACGGCTCGTCTCAGGTGCTGCGGTTATCACTCCGCCTAAGTAGCAGTGCTTCGCCTTCAGAGAATATAGTTCCCAGTATTTATACGGTTAAAATATGTCTGTGTCTCATGTGACTTTGTTTTTTGTACACTCTGTGACTATACAAATCACAACATGTAAATAGGAAAATGTTTGCGTTATTTTGTCACTTATTTGGATTAGTATGCTATTGGAACCATTTACATCCAGTCTTTGTGCTAAGCTAGGCTAGCGGTGGGTGCGTCAAACAGACTTATAGCACGCACGGAGATGAAAAAGGTATGTATGGACTTATCTAACTCTGGGGGATAAGGTGAATAGGCTAAAGACCCAAAAACTCGGAGTGTTCCTTTAACTGGGTTCCGGAGGCAGTTTATAACTTTCGGGAAGCGGAGTTTGATCGGGAGATTATTCCATTACGCTGCATTATTGACGTCTGCAGTCGGGTGCTCTCATGTTCGCTCTGTTTACGTAGCTCTGTTAGCTCGGTAATTTAGACAATAGGCTGTTGACAGAGTAACGTTAACGTTCGGTTAAAAAGGTTAAAAAATGCTTGTGTAGTTGTGTCGAATTGTATGCACTTGTGGGAGTTATATGGTACGCAGACATCCCAAGTCTCTATTGATAGCGGCTCCCTGAAATTAGTTCAAATCTCCCGGAATCTAACGCGCATGCGAGACAGAACATAGGCCTACTGTGCTCCAAACCGTGTAGCGCGCGCACGGAAGAGAGGGAGAGAGCGAGAGAGCTTGCCGTGTGTGCGTTATGAAAGCTAGTCACCCCGCAACAATCCAGTCAACTCCAAACTAGATTTTTAGGCCTATTTTGAATTTTACTCGAATACAAATACAAATACTTTTCCCCCCTCAACAAATACAAATACAGATACAGATCTCTGTTACCATAGATATAACATAACAACAACAGCATATCTTGGTTCTGAGAAACATAGCAAAACCAGTTACCGGTACTCAAGTATGGAGCAGAAACAACGCAACCTCGGCATCCATTTTCAGGCCTTCCCGCTTAGGTCTCTCCGGCGCTAGAAAGCTTTGGTAACACTTTAGAATACGGTTCCTTCGTTAATAAATAACTACACAAGAACCAATGAGTATTAATATTAACAAACTATTATTAACTAACAAGAAACTCTGATTAATGAACTAGTAAGTAATAGCGCACAGACGAAAGTGGTACTTCACTATTAACTAATCAATAACTACAATTATTTTAATGCTTCCCAGAGAACTACTGAAAAAGTTTATTAACAATCTAGTAACTACTATTAATTAAAAAGAAACTCTGATTAACGAATTAGTAAGTAATAGCGCACAGATGAAAGCGGTACTTCACTATTAACTAATCAATAACTACTTTTTTTTTTTAAGCTTCCAGATAACTACTGAAAATTTTCATAATTCATGCAAAACTAATCAATAACCAATGCAGGACAAATGACTAGCACTACATTAACATTTTAACTGCTACTGTAAACGAATACACAAGGTTGTTTACATTATCAATATGTAATAGCATAGCAGACTTATGATTTGGGAAAGCTGTTAATAATTGGTCTATGCTGTCTATTTATCAACTGAATAATTTTAAAGAAATGGATTTTTAAATGCAGTTGACGGGACCTTACTTGTCCTGTGGCCAATTTTCCGGCATTCTTCTGGACTGGCATTGAATCACTAGAGTCATGGTGAGTACTGGAACATATTGAGTCATCAGCCACCCAAATACCTACAGTTATTTTATTATTTAACCTACCTCCCAAAAAAAAAAAAGTTTTTATGTATGTCACCTAGCTCATATATATATATATGTGTGTGTGAGTGTGTGTGTGTGTGTGTGTGTGTGTGTGTGTGTGTGTGTGTGTGTGTGTGTGTGTGTGTGTGTGTGTGTGTGTGTGTGTGTGTGTGTGTGTGTGTGTGTGTGTGTGTGTGTGTGTGTGCATATCTTGTGAGTGATTAGATTCTACACTTTTTTGGCTTTTCATTAGTAACTACTGTAAGAATCATGGTAACAAACTAGTAATGACTCAAGTGTTACTACATACTTCTATGGGAATTACTAATTATTTGGATCCATATTCTAAAGTGAAGATCATGGTAACTAGTAATGACTAAAGTAATGACTAAAGTTTTACTAAGAAATTTTCTAAAAGTTCACCAAAAATCTCAAACGCTTGAAATTACTTTTGTGTTTGGTTGCACAAATCATGACTAGATCATGTAACACTTTAGTCATTACTAGTTAGTTACCATGATCTTCACTTTAGAATACGGATCCAAATAATTAGTAATTCCCATAGAAGTATGTAGTAACACTTGAGTCATTACTAGTTTGTTACCATGATTCTTACAGTAGTTACTAATGAAAAGCCAATAAAGTGTATAACTGCATTGGTTATTGATTAGTTTTGCATGAATTATGAAACTTTTTCAGTAGTTCTCTGGGAAGCATTAAAAAAATAGTAGTTATTGATTAGTTAATAAGTACCACTTTCATCTGTGCGCTATTACTTACGGGTTCGTTAATCAGAGTTTCTTGTTAGTTAATAATAGTTGCTAGATTGTTAATATTGTGTTAGCCTACTCATTGGTTCTTGTGTAGTTATTCATTAACGAAGGAACCGTATTCTAAAGTGTTACCAAAGCTTTTCTAATATTAATGCGGGTCCAAAAGCTCTTGCCTGATCATAACCCTTCTTTTCCAGTGATATTCCTCTGACCTTTTCTCTTTTGTAATGTCTCTCAGTCATCTCCTATACGGTCTTTCTTCAAATCTCCCTCTTGCTCACTCTCTCTCCTGTACCCATCATGAGTGGACACGCCCCCTACTGGTGATTGACAAGTGTGTTGTGGCCCTCGGTCTGATCCACTTTCAACAGCGTTTCTCAGAATTCGCTTACTGCACCATTAAGTGTGACAAAGTTCTAAAGGTATAACTTACAGCCAGAAAGTTTTCTGGGCAATCTTTCGGAGTCAATGCTGCTTTGCATCTGCTTACAACAAGCTTAAAATAAAGGAAAATATAGTTTAAAACTCTGAGATCACCAACTAAATTACTGTAATTCACAAATTTAACATTCTAAATTTCACAATAAGGTCTCATTTGTTAACATAAGGTAATGCATTAACTAACATGAACTAGCAATATATTTTACAGCATCTTTTAACCTTAAAAGTTCATTTTAGTTCAAAAGGTTCATGTTAACAGATACAACTTTTGATCTGAAATATTAGTAAATGCTGAGATTAACTAAGATTAATAAATGCTGTAGGCTCGAGGTATTGTTATTTCATGTGGACTAGTCAAAACTTACTGTAATGTGTTACCAAATTTTCCATTAGATTCATATTTAATCAGCATAACAATCTAAGTGAAAAGTTCAACTGAAAAATTACCAAATTTCAGAATGTATTGAATTTTATTTTCACAAATTTGTTCATTTTAAGTCCTAACTTTTCTGTTTTATATTGTTTAATTCTAAAACTTAAAAAAATTAAATCAGAAAAGTACAAATAAAACAAGAAAGATACATACTGTATACTAGAGAAAGAGACACCACTGTTATTTAGTATTATTTATATACTATAGTTCTTATTATATTTCAGATTAACTTTTATTTTTTATATTTTAATTTTAGTAATTTTATGTGCTTTTGTCCTTTTTATTAGTTTTTTAAAAATATTTCTAATTAGCTTCAACTTAATCTTATGTTATTTCAGTTGTTGCCAATGGAAACATTTCTCATTTTTGTTCATTCATCTAATATTTAGATTTTAATTTATTTCAGCTTTATTTGAATAAACATTAATTCAACAATAACAACACTTGTGTATATAGAAAATATGCCACATGAGTGTACAAGAAGATACCTTGGTTGTAAAGGTCGGGTCTGGCAGATTTTATCCACATAATTGTTGGAGTCGGGTGTCCTGTTGCATCACAGCGAAGTAGAACATTGCTACCCAGTAAAGCTGTGATCTTTGTGGCAGAGGTCACCGCGTAGGGCCTGCGGCAGCGAGTGAGCTCCACACTCTGAAAGGGAACTCCAGCGAGATCTGGCGGTCCACTACAGGTCAGGAACCGATCCAACAGGACCAGAGAGGATTCCGGGGCTTTACTAATGTCAAGCAAGGTGGAAAGCCTACAGTCGCACACCCAGGGGTTGTCCTGAAGACCTGTGAGAGGAATGAAATGGATGAAAGAGGGTGACGTGATGACACATTGTCATTGAGTCTTCAGAGGAATGCACTGATTACATAAACTGTTCTCTCCAGAAAGGGCTTTAGTTTCCACTGGAGGAACAGCGTGAGCCATCAAAAGGCTGCAAACTCTCAGATCGCACTTAGATATCACATATGTGTCTGTGTAGGCTACACCACTCAGGTTGGGTAAATATTTCATTAACATAAGACATTCATGACTTAATTTGGTTTCACTGACTTTGGCGGTGTCGATGTGTGTGTGGAACAGTTTGTAGTTGTATGAGCGCCAATCAGGGTGTGTTACTGGATTATTATGTGCTAAAAAAAATCCTATTTATTTTGGAATACTGGTACAGTAGTAGACAAACTTGAAACTTGGTACCCTAAATTGTCCTTAGTACCATATGCAGATCACTGACGTAGATTTAGTTTTAGTAACGTACAATGGCATTCTTCAAGATATGACCCTACAGATTAACAAAGGATCTATAGTGTGGTGTCTCCTCTTTATGTTTCACCTAGAACCACTGAGCGCTGGCTTTGAGTGGCGTCACTGAGCGGCCAGAGAGCAATCAGATCATTGGGAAGGGTGCTTAGCCTGTTGCTCGAGAGGTCCAGATAAGTCACATTGCCAAGGTAACGCGCAGCCAGGGGTGGGATTCGTGCCAGGCGGTTATTGTGAAGTCCAAGTGTTCGGAGGCGGGGCACATCTCTGAGTCCCTCCCAGGGGAAGGTGGACAAAAGGTTCCCGTCCAATCGTAACTCATGAAGGGAAGACAGGTTTGTAAAACTCCTTGGATGTAGAACGGTAATGGAGTTGTATGTAAGCCACAAATAAAGCAGTTCTGGCATTGCAGAGAAAGCGCCTCTAAAGATCCTGGAAACAGAGGTGCGCTCTAGGCGAAATTTGACAGTATCAGATGGCAAATCAATTGGAATGGCAGTCAAGGCTGGGTTCTTACAGAGCACAGTTCTAAGAAAAACACAAAACATAATATATAAATAGATTAATAATATAAATATAAATATACATTAAAGTTAATATATGTATATATAGGTCTATGTGTGTGTGGTCAAAATATTTCCCACGTAATTATAATATTAAAATCTGAATATCCTTTGTTGTGTGGACTGCAGCAACAACCTGTTTATACTCAGCAACCCAACACTAAAAATTGGCATTTTATAATGCTACAGTATGGTTACAGCATTAGCCAGGCCGATTTATCATACCGCAATAAGATAAATTGATACGATAAGATAAATTGGCTTTATAAGTCTGTAAAAAATGTTTGGGTGTTTATAGTATTGTGCATTTTGCTCTGTTTTAGTGTTGAAGGAAATCTCTTAAAACTTAACAGGAAATACTAGTAATTTTCTGTCAAGACATTATCTGTTTTTTCTACGTATTTTTTCTGACAGTGTATAGCCTACTACACATTCAGTATTTCCTCTAAAATTATGAATACACCTGTCTCCCCTAAATTACATTACTGGCACGTGGCACATTGCAAGAAACCTGTAACAAGACAACAACAGAGTGAAGGAGAGAGCTTGTGGATGGAAGAATTCAGGATCAAAGACTTTACCAGGCAAAAAGATTACAGAAAAAACGATTTGACTGTACCTGAGTCCTTTGGAGTTACTGCGATCATGGAGCACACAGGTGCACAGAGACGGGCATGATGGACTCTGTGCACAGACCACCAACGCCAAGCACAGAGTGAGGTCTGCATATAGAACAACTGGATGCATTGCTCTAAGAGACACATAAAGGATCTCATACACTACTTTCCCAGAAAAGGGCAGGAGTCCGAGCAGGAGTGTGACATTCCCAAACGCTGTCGTGGATTAAGACAAAGTCTAAAAGGATTAGTTCAGATTACTCTGAAGCAGATCAACACCTATAGTCAGTGAAGTAAAGAAAAACATGCTTTACAATAATAATAAATAAAATGGAAGATGCATTCAATTAAATTTAAATAATGTGTTTTCTAATGGACAATATAATGCCGATATCTATAGTGCAGGGTGACCGATATAATGTTTGCTAGCAAATTGGATATAGCCTACACAAAATTCCAAATAGTGTTGCTAAGCAATTACTGTTCCATCTTGAGTTATAGTGTTTTCTCTCGCGAATGGGATCGTATAATTAGGCCTGTAGCTGAGATGGCCACTTTTAAAGGGGTCATATAATGGTACATGCACTTTTACAAGTTGATTGTACTGAAATGTGTGTTGGCAGTGCCTGTGCACAACCATCATATAATGATAAAAATCCATCCAGTGTTTTTGTTTTAATCTCCTTATATGTTTTCCCCTGCCTCAAATTGAGCCGTTCGTTTTTGTGACATCAATAAAACGGACGCCCCTCCCACGATTGTTGATTGACAGCAGTGATTCAACACAGACCCGCCCTCGCTCGTCCTGTCAATCATAGTCCGCGCGGATCGGCGCGGTCATTGTTGATATGCTGGAGCACTGTCTATGAGCAGAATGGCGTCTAAGCGATTGTGGTGTTCTGTTCTTGGGTGCAATAACGAACACAGCAGTCATTTTAATGTTCCTAAATCCGAACCGCTGAAGACGCAGTGGCTGAGTTTGTTTTCGAAGGGAATATTCCCCACGAGCAACGTCAATGCTTTCATGTTTGCCGAATCATTTCTCAGTGGACTGGTTTATAAACGAGGATCAGTGTAAAGCTGGTTTTGCTGAGAAGCTGCACCTGAATAAAGGATCGGAACCAGCTATTCGTCTTCCTGCTGAACCTTCAGAAGTACTAAAGTGAGTGTAACGTTTTATTAATCTTTATATTAATATTTATATCGCCAGCTGCACGCTTCACGATGGTTTACACTCGGTTTACACTCAGGGTACATTACAGCATGTTTTCTATGTACAACGTTCTCAATATAATTCATAATCCCACGTTTATAATGAACAACGCGTTATGGTATTGTGTTATTGTGTTACAAACGGTGTATGCGCAGAACAGAGAGGCGGGGTGAGCAAAGCTCATTATCATTTAAAGTCATATGCACTGAAACGGCGTGCTGAAAACAGAGCTGTTTTTGACCAGGTAAAATAAGTGTTTTCTTACAATACTAATGAGAATTTTTAATTAAAGTATGTTACAAACTTTTAATTTAGACCCTAAAGAATCATATTAGCTTGTACAAAAATGGCATTACATGACCCCTTTAAAAAATAATAGTTCATAAAACCTCAAAACATTTGCAAAATATTTGTTTGGATCATTGGTTCGGAGCTTGTTTCAAACTCGGCTAGTCACAGGATTTTAGAAAACAAGAGGTGTGTTCTACTTGAAGCGCAGACCGATCAGTGTATGACATAAAATACAGCGAGAGCGATTAGAGCCCAGATGGCTATGCTTTCGAATCGCTCACACGGTACTTTGATGCCTGTCTGCACAGCGCCTCTTCAAGTCGAACACACCTAAGGCTTTGTTGTCATTGAAAATTGCCATATTTAAAGCAACACCAAGCAACTTTTCCTCTGCGGTCACCCTACAGGTTGGAAGCGGAATAGGTTGGTTTCACGTGACGTCACGCTGCTGCATCGCGAGAGCGCGAAAATTCAGATGGAGGGCAGGAAGTGAAATAGCTGAGGATCTGGCATAAATTTTTTGTGTATTTACGGCGGCTCCAATCGTTCTAATCGAGAAAAGGGAAAGGGTTTTTATAGAGTATCAAAGATTGTCATTCAGAAAGGTGAGAAATGTAAAAAGCTCACAGAACAACGCCGTAAAAAGTGGATTTTTAACGTAACGTTACGTCTGCAATTTGGGAGGAGCAGAGTCTGTTAATGCCGTGTCTCTGCAGCAAGTCAAATTTGTAGTTTTCTTATGTTTCATTCAGACTACAGAAACGTGACCCGATCTGGCAATCTTACATAGCGTGGATATATCAGATAAAGGACCGCAAAGCGGTGGCATAAGTGCATTTCACCATGTCACGACTTGATGAACCACTGAAACGATTTTGAAAACATTATTTTAAGGTACAAAATCTTACTTAGTGTTGCTTTAAAAATTCCAATGGTTCACCTATAGGAGGCGTTGATTTGTTGAACACATGGACAAGTGTATTAAAGGAGAAGGGTTTTTAATTGCTTCTAAATACCCCAAAGCCTTGCCTAACACAAAACAAGCTCTACACATTAAAAAAAAAGAACACAATTATTTACAGAACAGCTAAGAGCTGTGTTTCTCTTGTTATTCAAGAGAGGAATGGGAAATAGATAACCCTGTAGTGGAACTACGGAGGCATGATTACAGAACGTTTTGAGCGGAGCTGGGTAGGTCTCTGTTGCTCCGCTCCACTCATACACTGAACTCCAGTCTGGTGTTCGTTGCTTGGTGAGGCCTGTGATGCTTTTGCTTCTTGTGAAACTATTTTAGTAGTTGAAGAAGAAATATTCGAACTAACTTTACAATGATGTGTGGTTAATAATTGTGGCTGCGTGCAATAAGGTGAAATAAATAAACACACAATTTTGCAATGATGCACAAGGTGGTGTTGGAGTCCCTCCCTCTGATCTCGGATGACTGCAGCGGTAGAGACAGCAGCAGCTCTATCTCTCTCACTCTCTCTCTGACCGACAGCAGCAGAAGCATGGCGACGGTGGAGACACGGGAGTGCGAGACGGAAGGCTGCTGCAGCGAAGCTAAGCTCCAGTGTCCCACCTGCATCAAACTCGGAATTCAAGGCTCATACTTTTGCTCTCAGGTGAAGCTCTGACACTTTGGTTTAAGAAACAAGCGAAGCTCTCGGGGTTTGTAGCGCATGTCACGCTTGCCGGCCTACGGGACTGAGCTCAGCATTAGCTAGCTAACTTAGCTGTCTTGCTGTACATCACAAACAGCCACTTTAGCCCTTGCTTTGAGCTTTGACGTTTGCATTAAAGTTTTGTGCATGGTGATTTTCAGGATGACATATTAGTCTGAGATGTTAAACCCTAACACGGAGTGAAAATGTAAATTAGCGAGCTGTTTCTCTGCTCAACGTGCTTTAAATGACTTCAGCTCAGCGTGGCCCGCTTGCTGCTCAGTTGCTAAATCATACCAACCCTGAATTTATAATCTCTAAAGGTAAATGACAACATGATGCATAAATCTGTGCAATCTATAAGGGAGTGTAGATTTAACCCTGACTCTCATCATCCTCGTATGATTTGCTGGGCTCTCCTATGTCTCAAATCCTAGTGAGCGGCAACATGGCCATGATGGACAAAAATTGGCAGCTCACTGGGTTTTAAGGCAAAAAGCCTATGCTCAAAAAATGCTGTACAAGTACACAGCTTATTACATTTTGACAAATCTTTGGACTCTTTCACTATCACTTTTGGAGAGGCTGATTTAATGACATGGTGTTGCCAAGTCAAATATATCTGATTTGACATTTCCACCGATCCCATCTGATTCAAACGTTCACCTTTGCAGCGCTATAACGTTATTTCACCCTCATGTAAACGTTCTTCAGAATATCCTCTTTTATGTTACACTGAAGAAAGAAAGTCATACAGGTTTGGAACAACATAAGGGCGAGTTAGTGATGACAGAATTTTCATTTTGTGTAATGAGCTCTCACTGTAATACTTTAATATGGAGAAGTGCAGAGCTCTGTCATATAGGATATTTTCATCAGCTTTTCTTTCTAAAGTACATGATTCAACTCGCCTGTAACTACTAGTATGTTAGTAGCTGTATGCAATGTAACAGTTCAGTAACATTATTATGTTTTTTTCTTTTGATTTGATTAAAGACCCATGAAATTACATGATAAACACTGTTTACTGTGTTTATGTACTTCCTATTCAAACAGGAAGCTAGGCATATAAAAAGCCTTTACTTTAAAACAAGAGGATTGTGATTCATTGCAAGATCATCACTCATAATTATAATATTTGACCTGTTTACTGGAAGAGAATGTTACATTTTAAATGCTATAATATATACTACCATTCAAAAGTTTGGGGTCTGTAAGATAACTTTTTTGTTGTTTTTTGAAAGAGGTCTCTTATGTTCACCAAGCCTGCATTTAGTTAATCAAAAATATAGTAATGTTGCAAAATATTACAATTTAAATTAACTTTTCTAATATTATCGTTAGTATAGTATGTATACTAGTCTTCATTGTCACATGATCCTTCAGAAATCTATACTGATTTGGTGCTCAAGAAATTTCTTATTATTGATGTTGAAAACCATTTTGTTGCTTAATATTTTTGTGAAAAGCTTGATACTTTTTTTCAGGATTCTTTGATGAATGGAAAGTTTTTAAAAAATTGCAACGTAAATGTCATCACTGTCACTTTTTATCAATTTAACTATATATATATATATATATATATATATTAAACAAATTTGTTCAAAGAACAAACTTACTGAACCTAAACTACTTAAAAATGGTAGTGTAATTTTGACACTAGCAAATACATCAACGTTAATAGAAACTTAATTTTTGAGGGCCTTTAAGAAGTGAAATTGTTTGAGTAATAACTTCTAATAAAGTTCTTGTCTGTTTTCAGGAATGTTTTAAAGGCAGCTGGGCCACCCACAAACTGCTCCACAAAAAAGCAAGTATGTGTGTTTTATTCACTCTCGCTGTTCATGAGTGATGTTTAATTCTGCATTTGCATTTTGTATTCTCCATAGTCCATACAAATCATGTCTTGCATAATGCCATCATTAATATCTGCCGTTTTATTTGTAGAGGAGGACAAAGTAAACGATGAGGGAAAGAACTGTGTGGAGAAAGAAAT